AGATTTCTTCTAATTCTTCTGATTAAAGAGAAATTCCATTCCAGAAATTGAACAAAATACGAGAAAAAATCAAGTACGCCACTTTAACTCTTAACTACTATAATCATACGTCTCAGAGACGGCATACCAGCATCCGATTTGTTAGATTACTACTGCTTTTCAATATCGGCCATTGTCCTACCACGTAATTCATATCCAACCAGCACTCATTCAGTACCCTAAAGTTGATCTATGTACAGGGTGTCCGGAAATTATGCGCAAAAAATCAAGGGGGTGATTCTACATGATGAAATGAGAATTTCATTTCATATGTACGTGGAAATGCATAGTTTTCAACGTACAGTGTGTTAAAACTTTTAAAAAAGTTCGGTTTTTATGAATATCTCAAATGTCCTTTCACTGATTTCCTTGGAATTTGGCAATAATATTTTTTGTCACGAGGGGCTGATAAATTCATAATTCAATCGGGATTATGAAATCCAGTGGCGTCCCGGGGGGCAACCTACCGAATATTATTGTCAATAAAATGTGCACCACTGATTTTTTTGAATTCTGTATCTTCGTAACCTATTACCAACTAAATATACAACATTTTGGTCTCTTGACGGGACGCCACTGGATCCCACAATTCCAATTTAATTATGGCTAAATAAGCTACTCATGACAAAGAATATCATTGCTAAATAACAAGAGGATCGTTGTAAGGATATTTGAGATATTAATAAATAACCGTTTTTTTCTAAAAAGTTCAACACACTGTATCTTGAAAACTATGCATTTCTGGACCCGAGTATATATGAAATGAATCTCATGTTTTCTCATGCAGAATCACCCCCTTGATTTTTTGCGTAGAATTTCCGGACACCCTGTATATGGTTCAGTTTTGGAAATATCTTGAGTGAAAGATAGATTCCCGTCTCGTAGACGTATACCTAGTTAGTTATTACGTAACAATGAAAGTTCAATTTTGCCTATAATACGTATGATTGCGTCTATATCTAGATATACAGGCATTGTCATTTTTTTCAATTTGCATTTGTATGACTTAGTTCTGTGTCATATTTTATTACGACTCTAACTGTATTCAGAATGACAATAATGTCATCGATAATTTTAGTATTTCAATTTTATTTTAGTTTTTCTATAGATCAATGTCGAAATTTTGAACATGAGGAACTCCTCTATCAAATTTTGATCGCCTTTGAAATTTGTATTTCTATTTTAATTTTGAACATCATTTTCTCTTCGCCAAATATATAGAAAACGTGTTTGAATATAGCTCACAAAAATAAAATAAAAATTTTTGGATTTATAAGGACATACAAATAGTCCCGTCTGTGAGACGTATGGTTTTGGTTAGTAACAACGATATACAGGGTGTTTCAGATTTTTGTAGCAGGACTTTAACAGCTTGAAGAAGACATTTTTCTAAGATGAAAATCTCATACAAACATATATGCATGGAAGCTTCGTTTCCGATTCACAGGGTGTCAAAGTTTTAGATTTTTTTTATGTTTTTTGAATTTTCTCCTACAATTTTCGAGATAATTGATTGAAATTTGCTACACCTGATACACTTCAAAAACTTAATATTTGAGGCTATTGAGCGTTCTTGAATACCTACAGGGTGATAGACTTACAGGGGTCGTACCCAATTTAACCCTGTAGAACTTTTTTGCGTGCCGTCTCCGCTTTCAATGGGACATAGATTCAGATTGTCCTCTCAATTTGGGACCTATTTGCCACGATGTAAATTTTTCGAAAACTGTATGGATCTCGAGATAAATGCCAAAAATAAATTACTTGTAATAAAACCGTTATTTCTCAAACACACTCAATTGACATTTCTCAAACATTTTATTGGAAAATAGAATGACCGAATGCTTCCATACCAAATGAAATACAGTTGCAAAATCAGATTGAATTTTATATTATAATTAAAACTAGGAAAAACGAAGAAAAAATATTTTTATTAAAAAAAAATTTCTCTAACTGGATTGCAAAATCTGAAATTGTATTGGAGAAAATTCTAGGACACCCTGTATAACTGAAACTGGTTGAACTTTCTCGATATCAGGGACTGTATGACACACGGTCTCTAGGCGCTATACATCGCTAGACTGTCGCTTCTGACGGTTTTCCATACATACATACATACAAAACATACATGGGGGCAAAAAGTTTCCAAATTGCAGAGACAATCTGAATCTATGTCCCATTGAAAGCAGAGGCGGCACGCAAAAAAATTCTACAGCGTTAAATTGGGTACGACCCCTGAAAGTCTATCACCCTCTAAGTATTCAAAAACGCTCAATAGCCTCAAATATCAAGTTTTTGAAGTGTATTACGTGTACCAAATTCCAATCAGTTATTCCGAAAATTGTAGGAGAAAATTCAAAAAACATAAAAAAAATCTGAAACTTTGACACCCTGTAGATCGGAAACGAAGCTCCCACGCATATATGTTTGTTTGAGATTTTTATCTTGAAAAAATGTCTTCTTCAAGCTGTTGAAGTCCTGCTACAAAAAACTGAAATACCCTGTATATCTGGAACGTTAGTAGTTAAGGGTTAAAATGATTCAAAGTTGATCAAAGTTGAACATATACATAGATTCTTTTTTTGTCCACCCTGAATAGCTTCTCCTGATGGCAACATTTTATTCTGCGATGTGACTAAAACGGTGCAAAAATTTCAAAATGTTACATACTGTGGTTATCCAGTAATAGATGTCTTGAATAGACTACTCAAGCTTAGCATTTACATCAAAATTTGAAGTTTGATCTCTTTTTTTCGTTTTTTTCTCGAAAACGGAGAGTCCTATCGGGTATCAACAAGAAGATCTCTTTTGTACAAAATTGAATAATAATAATAATAATAATAATAATAAATCGTCTTTAATGGTGAAGGTACATAGTAGGCGCAGTTTAGCCAAAGGCTACTCTTACACTTAACCTAAGATGTACAGTTGAAGTAAGCTAAATTGTTCAATGGGAAGAAAGAGAAGATGTTCAAACATAATGCATATAACATAATTTATAACATAGACTGTATGTACTTATATGAAATAATGTTACGAGGCAAGTAAAGGCTGAAATAAGAATTAAGAATATTCAAGAAAAGGCATTTAAATTCATATTAGTATTCAAAAAGTGTTTTTTCAGGATGATTCTTATTTTTGTTTTCGAAAATTGCATGTAATTGATCAACAGTGAGTTGTAGAATTTGACGGAGAGATAAGTGAATGACTTCTGGAACAATGACGTTTTATGACGCGGTACATGAAATTTGTTTTTTGCTCTTACATCGAATTAATGTAGCGTAGATCTAGGAAACAGTTTATTATATAGTGACGAGGGAGTTTTGGAAGTTAGAACTTTGTACACAAAGTTGCATAAATTATAATTAGTACGATTTTGCATTGTCAACCAGTTCAGTTCTATGATTTTGCTAGACACATGATCATATTTTCTCAAAGAGTAGACCAGTCTACAACAGAAATTCTGTACTTTCTGTCTCCGATTCAAATCAAATTTATTCAAAAGATTGCTATACACAATATCCCCATAGTTGAACCGTGACAAGACCAAAGATTCTGTGAGAAGTTTCCTGATTGATTGGCTGAAATAATGTCTATTTGAGTAAATGAGTTTGAGAGTACCAAACGATTTTTTAAGCAAATCATTCAAATGCAAATCAAATTTTAGGTCAGAGTCAAAAATAATACCCAGGTTTTCAATAGAGTTCACAACAGGGAGAATGGGGTCATCAATTTTAATTTTAAGATTTTGTGAGACAATAGTTCTATTCTTTCTATTACCGAAAAGCATCAAGTGACATTTATTCTTGTTCAATTTCAAATTGTGTTGCGTAGCTAAATTAGTAATGGTTCGTAGGCCAGAATTAATGAGATTTTGAATAGCTCCATAGTTGTCGATGTTTAGGTTGGTATATAGTTGTGTATCATCAGCATAAGCCTGAACTTTAGAGTACTGTATAGAGGTCAATATATCACTAGTATAAATTATGAATAGTAACGGTCCTAAGATTGACCCTTGAGGCACACCAGAAGTAACATTTCGTGTTGACGACATTTCATTATTATAACATACCGTTTGACAGCGATTCGTGAGATATGAAAGAAATAAAAAGACTACTTCATCCGAAAATCCATAATATTTCAATTTGAAACAAAGTAATGTATGATTTATAGTGTCAAATGCCTTTGAAAAGTCTAATGCAACTAGAGCTGTCAATTCTTTATTATCAGAGTTTCGAATTATGTCATCTGTAACTTGAACGAGAGCTGCTGCTGTGCTATACCCACTTCTAAACCCCGCTTGACAATCTGGAATAATATTATTTTCATTCAAGTATGAAATGACTTGGTGATGGATGACTTTTTCCAATATTTTTGAAAGCGCAGAGAGAATACTTATGGGACGGAGATCGGTGAAGTTCACTGGGTTCGAAACTTTACTCAATGGTCTGACAATAGCAATTTTCCATACATTAGGAAAATAACATTTTTCTAAACAACAATTCAAAATATGAGTGAGAAAAGCATCTATGAACGGACTACAATAGTTAATCATATTTATGGATATACCATCAAAACCAGTAGCATTTGATTTAATAGTTGATAAGACTTGCTTCATTTGATCAACAGTTATGAATTTTAGTTTGAAAAGATCCTCTTGATTTTTCAATTTTGGATATTTATTATTATCGTAGAATTTCAAAAATTCATTGTCAATTTCATCATCAATAAATACTGAAGCGAAATAATTATTGATTTCTTCAGGATTTTGCAAGAAATTTGGTAAGTCGGTATTATTTTTTTTATTATTGATATTCTTTAGGTTTTTCCATAATTTTTTAGAGTCATTAGATTTGAACACCCTGTATATCCATCTCTAACTGTTCATAATTTATCTGAGAATATTCCTTTTCGACAAAGATCATGGTTAGAAATTCAAATTGAAATTGAAAAGCACTCACCGTCTCTCTTCATGTTCACCTGAAGGCACTTCTTGAATCTGCAGGCTTGGCACTGATTCCTTCTCGTGACGTCAACCACGCAGTGTCCATTTTCCTTGCAAACGTACTCCAAATTCCTGGAACGACAATAGTTGCTTGGGTGAAAGTACGAAACGAATCAGTGGCTAAGTACCGAAGTAAGTACCTGCGAATGCTCCTTTTGAAGAAGCCTCTGCAGCCGTCGCAACTGGGCACTCCGTAGTGTTTTCCTGAAGCTTTGTCTCCGCACACCTTGCAGGAAGATTCGGTCTTCTGGTTCGAGGATGATTCGTCCATCTTCAAAAGAACAAACGAAATCAGGAAGTTTTTCAGAAAAATTCACAAATAAAATCTTGGGTTTTCAAAGATTAGGCATCATTTTCAACAGGATCGATGGCACTTTAGCAACAATAACATCACATGAGAAAGCAAAATTTTTGCAGAGATGTTCGCAGCAAACTCTACCTTGGTTTCCAAGGAAATGGCCACCAGATATTTCTCTGTAATATAGTCATTCCTCAATAGACTAACGAGGGCATTATGTTTGCTTTCAAATCGAATAAGCAGGCTAACAGTCCAGATGGAATTCCACCGATTATTCTTGAAAAGTATACTATCGCCGACTCTCTGCAAGTTATTTACCATCTTGTACAAGTCAGGTATTTTTTCATCTTGTTGGAAAGTACCTCTAGGTTCAACCTATCCCCAAAAAAGAAGAAAAAAACCTTCACAAAAAATGGGCATGCCTGTAATCAGTATTCGGTCTTTTGGTTCGACGAAGAAGATTCGTCCATCTTCAAGAAAACAAACGAAATCTGGATATCTGGAATTGAAAATAATCACAATTGAAATCTTGGGTTTTCAAAGGTTAGGCATCATTTTCATTAGGATCGACGAAGCATTAGAAACAGCATCACAAGAAGAAGCAAACATTTTTGCAAAGATGTTCACCCACCTTGATTTCCAAGGAAAAGTGCCACCAGATATTTCTCCGAAATAGTCTTTGAATAAAACATAAAAAAGGAGAAACCCATGATGTTTTAGTTCATTCTTGAGTTTATCGAGCAACCAGCTTATTCAAATATTTATTATTCTCCATAACAAAATATCATGTGGATGTTCGAGACTTAGCAACATCGTGCTGAATGCTGAGAACTGACAAGGCCACGCCCACAAGTCGTGCGCCGTGGTTGTCACTTCCACCGATTCAAATGTCCATCAATGTGAATTAATATAATTATATATTATTCACACAATAAGCCACAAATCATAAAGGAACATTTTGAGCCAAATGAATTTTCATTGCTAGTTAGGAATATAAACAATACCCAATTGAAAATTCATGAATTATCGAATAACTAATATTTCTGAAGTTCCCAATCGTATTTCAACACATGGCAATTGTGCTATGGTCTGCCCCTAACTTACCCACACAGCACATGACATCCATTGGACGTCCATTTTAGGTCCATCTCAATTACAAACGTCCATGGACATTGAATGGACATCCAATGTACGTACAAACATATATTATTCTTGGATGCTCTGAATTGTATGTGTACAGTGAACGTCCACTCAATGTCCAACCACCCATGTACGAAGATCGGTCGGTAGACAAGCGGTAGCGTCTGGCGTGATGCTGACGCCATTTTCAGTTAGTAAATGACCGTGAACATGACGTGTTCCCAGTTAGCACAAGTATATCTGATGGATATCCTATGGATATCCATCATGGATATTGTGGATGTCCATAAGATATCCGAAAAAGGCTCTGGTATATCCTATGGATGTCCATTGGATGTGACAGTGTGAACTTTTTGGATGTCTTGAAGATATTCATTATGGATATCCATAAGATATCAACTATGGATATGGATAAGAGATAGTAAGTATACCCTTTATATAGAAAAAATCACAAAAATTGGGAAGCACTCACGTCTCACTGCGTTCGAATAATGTAGTTGTCAGTTCTTATGCATCATCAATTTTGGACGAATTCGTAGGAATCACTTTCAATTTCACTTCAAATTAATTAAATATGATAACAGATTGACATTAATTGACTATTCCAAGGTTGGTAGAATCGATAATCTATACATAAATAGTTGTCAGTTCTACCAATCTTGGACTATTTGTGACGTTACGCCACTTGGGAGACCCACGCACAAGTGTTACTTTTGTGGATCTCTTTTTATTCATTTATCATTTCATTCATTGTATATACTTGATTTGAAATTTCTAGGTATTGATCTTTTGTCTCTGTATCTTATGGATATCCTATGGACGTATTCAGGATGTTTGTTTCGGATATCTCGAGTACATCCGCAATCGAATATCTTATGGATATACATTTTATGTCCACGGATATCCCGCCTTGATTTGGACTTGAAATGGATGTCCATAAGATATCCTGTGTTAACTGGGTTGTGTTTGTGATGAATTGTGGAATGCAGACTGTTTTAGGACCAGATCATTCGAAGTAGGTATGAAATCATGCATGTTCGAATGTGACTTCATATATCTAATATAGTTATCAGTTATTACCTTATATGCTTTCTGATCCTACAGGTTGTTATTTATTTTCAATGGGCGGCTGAACAGGATTTGGGGTATGGACAATCGACTTCTACCTATATCGGGTGGTCACAAAAAAACCGGAAGTTTTTATTTTCCTCGTGATTTCATCATTTCTCAACCGAATTCGAATTCCTTGGCGTCGTTTTATAGTGAAAGGGCTATAGTATATAGTGGAATATTTGAAAATTCCATAATGAACAAAAACAAAATGACGGATTCTACCAAAGTATTGTCATTTACAAAAACCGCTGGAGAAAAAGAAAATCAGATTTTTTCCAACCTGTACCGATGTCATCTCAGGCTATTCATTTCTAAAGAGAATGAGTACTCGAACATCAAAATCGAACAAATAGTCCAGTAGATACACTCATTTATTTGCAATTTGTTATTGAGTGAATGTGCTTATCTCGTATAAACGATTATTATTATTTTGCTTCAGACTTCATGAAAATTCAATCGAATTTGGATTTCTAAGAGCTATTTCAAAGATAAAGAACAGTATTACACAATGGAACAATTAAAATAATTGAAAGAACAAAATGGTGGAGGATCCAGAATTCTTGTGATTTTCAAAAATCTGGCGAATAAAAAAATGTTCATTCTTTCAATCAGGACCGATACAATTTTAGATCATTGATTCCCAAAAAGAATGAGCACTCGAACATCTGAATCGAACAATTAGTCCAGGAGAAACACGTTCTTTTTGGCAAAGTATTATGGAGTGAAATCCAAATCGATCGAATTGTGATAAAGCCAGAAGCAAACTAAAAGTAATTCATATCACGGGATTAGCACATTCACTCCATACCACTTTGCCAAAGAGAACGTGTTTCTCCTGGACTATTGTTCGATTCAGATGTTCGAGTGCTCATTCTTTTCAGAAATCAATGATCTAAAATTGTATCGGTCCTGATTGGAAGAATAAACATTATTTTATTCGCCAGAGCTTTTTGAAAATCACAAAAATTCTGGATTCTCCACCATTTTGTTTCTTTCAATTATTGGATTTTCAAATGATTCATTATGTACTACAGTTCTTTATCTTTGGAATATCTCTAAGAGATCCAAATTCAATTGAATTTTCATGAAGTCTGAAGCAAAATAATAATAATCGTTTATACGGGATCAGCACATTCACTCCATAACAAATTGCAAAGAAATGAGTGTATCTACTGGACTATTTGTTCGATTTCGATGTTCGAGTACTCATTCTCTTCAGAAATGAATAGCGTAAGATGACATCGGTACAGGTTGGGAAAAATCTGATTTTCTTTTTCTCCAGCGGTTTTTGTGAATGACAATACTTTGGTAGAATCCGCCATTTTGTTTTTGTTCATTATGAAATTTTCAAATATTCCACTGTTAGCCTGGGAGCCAGCAACCGTTTAGAGTTAGTCATTTCACAAAAGCTGAAAATTCTTCCTGAGCTTTATTTGGGATAACTAGTAAGGGAATCAGCCTCCAGCTGGCACACTTCCGGGGGGTGTAGTTGCAGCAGCGTCCCAAACACGTAAAATTATAATAAAAAAAAACTGATATCACAAAAGCTGAAACTTTGTTAACATGTTGATTATCATACAAATAGATCAAAAAACGTATCCAGCCGAACTTATACTGGGGGATTATGCTCCAGCTTTTCACGTAAAGAAGTTAAAAATATGCGCTGAGTAAACTAATACCGCAAAAGCTGAAATTTGGTGAACAAATAGTTAAATTAATAACATAAACGATGAGAACATCCAGCTTTACATTGGGTGGGGGAAAAGTGCCCAGCTGATGCAGTGAAATACGCTGCGCATGGATATCTCGGGCGCATCGTATCTTTGACTGCATCAGCTGGATACTTTGCCCTCACTAAAATGATGAGCTGGAGGTTTTTTTGTTAACCCATTATTTCAACTATAGGTACACCAAATATCAGCTTTTGCGGTATCAGGTATCTATAGTTTTCTCAAACTCAGCGCACATGCATGCATTTATTTAATGATAAATACGTAGGTATTACATTTCTGATCTGAAGGAAGATAATTAAAAATAGGTTTACTATCAATTTTTTTTTCAGTATTCCTTCACAAAAAATATACTAACAATACAAATTAACAGACATAGTGAACTAGTGTGTGTAACAAAATCAGATATCAACAATGTTTTCAGATTTCGGATCCTTCGGATTCATCGTCGTCGTTCCCATCATCGCTTTCATGATCGCTGCAATTGATGCTGATCCACGAAATATCTTCGATTGGAATATGTCATTTAGACAAATTTGTACACATCAAATGAACGCCGTTTCCAAGAGATTAAAAAAATGATGAATTGAACTCTGATGCGATCACTGCACTCCCCTTGGCTAAATATATCAGATGATCACAATTTTTTTGCAGTTTCATTTTGAATTTATCTGTGTGGCCAAATTAGTCGGAACATAAATATTTTTTTCATTATGAATATACCACAAAATACTTCTGCTATTTTTGCAAGCATGTTTTTTCAGTGTAGGTAACAAATTTTGAGCCACCGAACATCAGAACATCTCTGATTCTGAGCAGAGGCGCCAAATTCTAGTAGGAGTTGGCCGAGAGAGGGCAGTGTCGGTTCACACCTGTCCATCAGCACATATTCGATGATAAATCTGTGGATTCTGCCAGCGCATTTGATGCATGGACAGCGCGCTGTGTTTAATGAGAGAAGTATAGATACCTGATACCGCAAAAGCTGAT